ATCACTAAATCGATGAAAAAAATATAAATATATGAACAAAAACTAAAATAAAAAATATATCTTACAAGGAAACATTTATCATATATACCGAGCAGTCAGCACTGTTTTCCGTTGAAATTTATAAATTTTTTCTCTTAAAACCCCTTTTTAAGAAAATAGGTTTCTCAAGTACAGTGGTTGTTACCGCTCTTTCCAGTATTAATGGAGGTTTTCTTCCGAACCTCCTATTTGAAATGGCGTGGACTGTTAGCATCTTGATTATATCATTATTTTCTCTTCGAGTTACGTGTACTATCCGTCTTAGTTGTTGCAACTGTTGGTTGTCCTCAAGTCATGCACTTTCTGTTATTCGCTACAGTTTGCAATTCTGTAGCGCCAGTTCACGAGATTTGCCAAGACCCTCTGGCTTTTCTATATAGGCCTCAGAGAAAGCTCAAACATGGAAAACGATCCGAAATCTTCGCGTTTGAGTAGCTTCAATATATCTCCCATGATTCGGCACCATATAGAAGTGTAGTGATCACAATGGATTTGTAGACGCTGGTCTTCGTGAGTGTTGTGACCAAGTAAATGGTTAAGAAATAACAAAACCAGGGTTGCAGATATATCATATATTAAACAGTACAACGGAAGAGTATTACACGATTATTGAGTGTATGTCGGTTGACCCGGCGTTCAATCTGTTCATCTGTTAATATTTAACAGCCCACCAAGGGGATGTATGCGCCACAAGGCCGAGTTTACCGTGTGTTCTCCGAACCTGTAGGCTCGGCCAAAAAATTCCCTTAGAACCCACATAAACGGGTTCAGCGCCTGTCTGCTTCCCCGGACGAAACTTTGCCCTGCGGCAAAGCCTCTTCCGAGGCAGAGAGTTCGACAGTTACGAACAGTCTGGTCGACTGATAATATTTAACAGTCCCCTCCCCCACGAGAGGTGTATGTGGCACAAGGCTGAATTTACCATGGGTTTTCAGAGCCTATAGGCTCAGCCAAAAATATTCCCTTTGAACCCGTATAAACGGATTCAGGGCCTGTCTACCTCCCCGGACGAAACTTTGCCCTGCGGCAAAGCTTCGCCCTAGTTCCTCTCTGCCGAGGCAGAGAGTTCGACAGTTGCGAACAGTCTGGTCGACTGATCCCCCAAGGCCTTCTCTCCTAATAATCTTAAAGTAGGTGGAAGAGTCTAACATAGACTTTTTAGAGGGAGGACACCACAACGGTGAGATTTTTATTGTTCCATACACATTTGTTGAGCAGCCCGGCCCAGTTTCTTGCTCGTTTCTCCTTCTCGTTTGATGTTGGGGTTAATGAAACTGCCTAACTAGTAATTACCCGCTAAACATCCACAGGAATATTGAAATAAGATTACTTTTCTAAAAGGAAATATATATATATATATATATATATATATATATATATATATATATATATATATATATATATATATCTTTTTCACAGATACAACCAAAGATTTTTCGAAAAATAAATTCAATTTTGCAATCAGGTTTCATGAAGAGTGGATGCAGTTCTCTGAAAGTAGATACAAAAAACGGACATTTAGATTTAATTATTACAATTACTATTCTATCTTTTGGTATCAGGGACTCTAATTATAAAGACCGTTTGCCCCAAAACGTTATCTTCTAGAAATACCGTTTTGAAGTGAAATACAATCATAGGTTTATACCAGTTCTCTCGATTCATCGTTATCTATGCTGATGACACAACCATTTAGTCTTGATTTAATAGTCAGTCTAAGCGGTTCGATAAGATCAATTTGGCAGATGACGTCAACGTCAAAAAACACTATGTTATTAAGTAGGGCAAGGAAAGGCTTGTTAATTTTAACGCCTCCAAAACGAAACTACTCTCTTTTAATCATCTGAGGGAACTCTTTTTACTTTCCATCAGCATGGCTGATGCTAACCTCCAGGAGAGTGTCTCATTGCACCTTATCGGACTAATGTTTTCCATTGACGTGAAGTGGAAAATTATATTGAATCAATTTCTAGGTCACGCATGCTATGAAAGTCGGTTTTCTGTATCGTGCCAGACAATTTTTTCTCGCTAGAATTTCTCAGAAATATATGTCTACCAGTTGTCCTTGCTTTGAATATTGCTGTCACATCTGGTTTGGTACTCTTGCTAGATATTTAGAGAATGAAATTCAAATAATCTGCAATATTATTAATCTTGACATATCATCTCGGCTTCAATCATTTTCACACGCCAAAATACCTTTACTTTTAAGGTAATTGTTCTGATTTGCTTTCCTCTATGGTATCTATACTTTATGAATTACTCGCTTGTGTAACTCTCTCTCTCTCTCTCTTTCTCTCTTTCTCTCTCTGCTTTTGCTTCCCAGTCAACTTTGATCTTCAATAGTTTAAATGCGATGTCAATCGTTATCTTATGTATTAACTTTTGTTCTTTTACTGTTCTCTCTACTTAATAGTGTTTTTTTTTTTTTTTTAAATAATAATTTAATAATTTTTCATTTTAATAATTTTTAAATTCAGTTCCTATGGTAACGTAAGGCCTGCTCGTTTTAAGTGGTACCAAACATGCTCCAGATTTTTCTAGCAATGGATTTTTTCATTAAATAATAGTGAAACCAGTTTTTTTTTTTTTTTTTTTTTTAATCATGGAGGGATTTTCAAACTAAGGGTCGAGTCTATTGTTATGGACAGAGAAACAAATACAGAAAAATCCATAAATAACTGGATGCATATATCTCGTTATTTTCCAAGTATAGCTTAGTTTAAAACAAGGACAGTGTTTTACTTGAACCCCTAATGATTTTCTTATTAATCATTTCACCCGTAGCAAGACGATAATGCCCTTTAAGATGCAAGGAGTTACTGGAAGTGAAAGTGAATGAGAAAACTAATAAAGAGAAAGAGCAATAAAAGAATAGGATTTAGGAAGACAGAAGATGTCGATTGACGTTGCGTTAAATTTTTGAAGATTTTTAGCTGACAGGGAATCAAGAAACCGGAAGTGTTCCATAGGCGTAAAAAGAAACTATTAGAATGAAACATACGGTTATATCTAGCAATTACAAAAGTAAAATGATGGTTGTACATACCTAGTATGTACATTTAAATTCATGCAGTCTATGCCCCAAGGAAGAAACTCAACCAAAACAATTGCTATGAAAATGTTTCTAGAAAGATAGAGGGAACCAATGATAGTTGGAAAGAGACTGAAATCGAGATGCCAGATCAGGACCGATTATATCACAGACCCTTCTTCGAATGTTGTCTAGTATCTCGGGATATATAGTAGGAGAAGAGCTGGACTATGGCAGAAATATTCAATGCACGAACGAATGGCAATGACGGATAACTGTTGTTAATAACAGACGAGTTGCTCATGAAAAACAAAATCCCTGCTACGTTTTTTAATTCTAAAAATTTTTCTGAACCTCCTGAAACTTACGATTCCCCGTTTATTCATTTTTGCCATTTTTGATGGCCATGTTTGATTGACATTGTTTTTCTTCTTTTTTTTTTTTTTTTCCTTTATTTATATTGTAATGTTGGCAAGATTTCATGAGAATATTTTCGATTTTATTAAAGAATTTTACTCAGATACAATGATGGAATTCTGTTTGTAGGTTTATTTATTTGACATCTTGTAATTTCAGAGACTTGGGGGAGGGGTTAATACCCGCCCCCGTTTATTACATCGCCATTTATGAGTTTCTCGTTTTTTATTTTGTTTGTTTGTTTGTTTTTTCTCGCGCGTTTAATAGGTTGTTTTTTTTTGTTGTTTTATTTTGTTTTTTGTTTTTTTTGTTTTATTTTGTTTTGTTTTTTTTGTTTTGTTTTTTTTTTTGCAACACCCCGCTGGTTATTACATTTTCTGATATTTTATAAAGCTATCTTTTATTACGACCGAACCTTTTATTTGGCAACTGCGAGTATCCCATTCGGCTATAGGCGACCAACGATTGGTCGATATAACAATTTCATAAGAAAAATGTTAAACAGATATAAAATACTACACAACGAATGCAACTGGTTAAAATAAAAACAATGCTCGGTGTATAATAGGAGCTAAAATTTATATTAGTAATGAAGGCACGTAATGGATAGCGGCTCGGATTGAGGAATCGGAGAGCCGAGTTCGAATTCCAGTCGAATCCATTACATTCACTTACATGTTAATACCCTTGGGAAAGGTAAGAATACACTTCTTCTAAGATATGGATAAATAGCAGGACAGACCGGGTTCTATAGCCTTGGATGGCAACTGGTCTATCGCAGAAAGAAATGGCAAACTACTGTGGGAAAAAATCTGCCTCGTCAGTCATGTATCGAAAGATACATGATCGCCTAAGCGTGTATCACGCATGGCGCATAACTGACTGAATAAATATATATTTTGTTCCTCGCCATTTGGTACAACTCCGAGTTTCATGCACGTGGCAAACGTCAGGCGCGGACGTTCATGAAACTCAGATGTACGAAACGGTGAGTAACAAAATGTATATTTGTTACTTGGGTGCGTGTGTGTGTGTATAGTGTGTTGGTTCGGAAAACGATAGTGAAATGACTTATGGTTAGATTTTAAAATGCGACACGCCAGATGATTTCGTCTGGTCACTGAGTTTGTTGGTATCAGCAGAAAGAAACAATGCTGCTTTGCAAGCTAAGTAGGAAGCTAAAGTCACACTTAGCATCTACGCGGGAAGTGAAGAGTTTTCATTTCTGTCCACACAATAATTATAGATCCGTCCTATCTAGTAATGTTTGATTGCATTTAATTGTCAACGGCTAGAGAAGATTATTAATTGCGGCAATTATAGCAAAATGGCAACAAAATTAAATTCTGGGAAATACCTTGGACAAAAATACAAGTTCCGTTAAAGTGAAGAAAACTAAACTGAAAATGCAGAGGAAAAGAGAAAGAAAAGAGTTTATCGTGTAAAAATCGGAGTGATGAGAAAGATGAGGTGGGGTAACAAAACAAAAATCATGAGGTTACGAAGAACATCAAAAGGAAAAGTGAAGGACAAAGCAAAAGAGATGTGAAGAGAGAGAGAGAAAGGAGGAAGCGTAAGAAAAGGAATGGCGAAGAGAGAGAAGGGAGGAAGCGTAAGAAAAGGAATGGCGAAGAGAGAGAAGGGAGGAAGCGTAAGAAAAGGAATGGCGAAGGGAGAGAAGGGAGGAAGCGTAAGAAAAGGAATGGCGAAGAGAGAGAAGGGAGGAAGCATAAGAAAAGGAATGGCGAAGAGAGAGAAGGAGGAAGTTGACTATTTTGGAATGGCGAAGAGAGAAGGGAGGAAGCGTAAGAAAAGGAATGGCGAAGAGAGAGAAGGGAGGAAGCGTAAGAAAAGGAATGGCGAAGAGAGAGAAGGAGGAAGCGTAAGAAAAAGAAATGTGAAGAAGAGAAGAAGGAAGGTAAAAAAGGAATGGCGAAGAGAGAGAAGGAGGAAGAAAAGGTAAAAAAGAGAGAAGGAGGAAGCGAAAAGGAAGGTGAAGAGAGGGAAGGAAAAAAAAAGAAAAGGAATGGCGAAGAGAGAGAAAGGGAGGAAGCGTAAGAAAAGGAATGGCGAAGAGAGAAAGGAGGAAAGGAAGAAAAGGAATGGCGAAGAGAGAGAAGGAGGAAGCGTAAGAAAAAGGAAATGGCGAAGAGGAGAGAAGGAGGAAGTGTAAGAAAGGAATGGAGGAGAGAGAGAAGGGAAGGAAGGAGAGAGAAGGAGGAAGGACAAAAGAAAAAGAATGTGAAAAAGGGAAAGAGGAGAGGAGGAAAGTAAGAAAGAAAAGGTGGGAGAAAAAGCGAAAGAAGAAAATTAAAGAAGGAAGCGTAAGAAAAGGAAGGAGAGAGAGAAAAGAGAGAAGGGAGGAAGAAGAGAAAAAGGAAAAGGAATGGCGAAGAGAGAGGAGAAGGAAAGGTCCCCAAGAGTAAGAAAAGGAAGATGGCGAAGAGAAAAAAAGAGGGGAAAGAAAAAGGAGAAAAGAGGAGGAAGAAAAAGAAAGAAGGAGAATAGAAGGAAACTGTAAAGGAATGCTAAGAGAAGAAAGGAATGAGAGGGAGGAACAATTGGCGAAAAGAGAGGGAAGGAGGAAGCGTAAGAAAAGGAAATGGCGTGAAAGAGGTGGAAAGTTTACGAAAAGGAATGGAGATCGGATACCCCAATAAAAAAAAAAAAAGACTAGTAAAAAAAAAAAAAAATCTAGCACGAAAAAAGGACGCTGGAAAAAAAAGGGACTGGAAAAGTTTAGCAATAGGAAATATCCCAGGTAAATAAGGACACACGAGTAGAAAAATATCAGGATTATAATAGTTTATCCAATTAAGATTGGATGAACAATTATGAAGGCATATACTGAAGAATACCTTTGTACTCAACGAAACGTCGTGAGCATAACAACCAAGATGAGCAGGTTCTTCTGAATCAGTTAGTTACGTGCCATGCGCGATACACGCTTAAGCGATTGTGTATCTTTCGATACATGACTGACGAGGCAGATTTTTTTCCCGCAGTAGGTTGCCATTTCTTTCTGAGGTAGACCAGTTGCCATCCAAGGCTATAGAACCCGCTATTTACGCATAGCTGGGCTTGTACTGCAGTTCTTGGCCAAGCATTATATTTATTACGTTGACGACTACCATATTCCCCCAGATCTTGGGGATTCATGCATTTCCCAAGAGTATTAGCACGTAAGTGAATGTAATGGATTCTTGAATTCGAACTCGGCTCTCTGAATCCTCAATCCGAGCCGATATCCATTACTCTGTTTCTTCTGAAAAATAAAATAATTGTATAATAAAAAAAAAAGTATGCAAAAAGAATTCTGTTTATCATATTATTTGTTTTTAAAAATATCTAGTAAAATAACCACATAATATTATTTCTTTGTCTCCGTAATTTCAGGTTGGAGGCAATCTTTTTTTTTTTCCGGTGCCACGCCGGCTTACCTTGCTAATTCAATTCTGATGTGATAGTTTACAATAGTCGGTATTTCAATTCATATTACTAGACGGAAATGAATGAAGATATCCTTCATTTTATCTCACGGAATTGAATTTAGCGATTATTTATTAGTCAATGTTTGACGATTTTATCTTTAAGTACAATTTTATTTTTGTCTCTTTTATTTCACACAATCACTCATATAATATGATATATATGTGTGTCTGTGTGTGTCCGTGACCTTACATATCGATCTATTAATATCGGCCAGTCTGATAACTGGCTGCTTTTCTACCTCATATCTTACTCCCTGCCTATCATCTGAAAAAGTACATCCGAGGAATGATCAAAAAATATCGGAACTGATGTCATAAAAAACAAAAAAAACACAACACATATCAATTCGGCATTTCATCTCCTTCGAAGTGGTCCTTTTTGAAGCCACACACTTTATCTAGCGTCGTTTCCACTAATGGACGCATTCCTGGAACTCTTTCTTTGTTTGTCGGTAGGTGGCAGACAGCGAAGAGCTGTCTCGTTCATTCTCTTGGATTATTTCTCCGTCTAAAAATATCGTTCCTTTCAAGTGGGATTTGATTTTGGGATAGAAGGAAAAGTCGCAAGAGAGCGAGATTTGGGAGAATATGGTAGCTGTCAACGTAATAAATATGATGCTTGGCCAAGAAGTGCTTCACAAGCCATTGTTAATAATGGAACTTCTGGTTTGGCGAGATTACCACACTCTACACACTTCCCTTCCAAGTAATGCTATAAACAACGGAAACAAGAAGTTATAACTTAGTATGCATACACGACAGAGTTCAAGGTTTATCTGTGCCAAGGGACTTCATTTTGCGCTCTTTAGCTTCCTTATCATATCAGTCCTGATACTTGTTATCAGACCGCTTATATATGAAATTAATTCAATAAATCTGTCCCTATACATATATTCTTCAATCCATTTATATTAATCTTTGGCTCTTTTCTAATTACCGTATGTTTTACTTACCTTTATCCACTGTATATACTTTGTGTCTAACCTGACTTCATGTACAGTGCGATCCCTGAAATATTTTGCATTAATTTTAACCCTCCTAGAAAAATGTACATGTGCAATCGATCAACGAAAAAAATGTACATGTGCAATCGATCAACGAAAATGTATGATTTTTAACCTCTTCAAAATATTTACCTGTGTTGTAAACTATAATTACTTGCATTATTTGCATTATTCGGATTGTTATCCTCGTGTTCATTGCTATAGTCACAACGTTTCGACCGTTGTACCCTCCGGCCTTCTTCAGGCGATTAGAATTTCGAACTGAACCCTTTATTTCGTCCACCTGGGTAGATTGGGCTGGTTCCACATGCCATGCCTCTTCTGGATGTCTCTGTTATTTCCCTTTAACTCAACTCTCTAAGAATAATCTGTCCCGGTGGACGAAATAAAGAGTTCAAACGAAATTCGAATCGCCTGAAGAAGGCCGGAGTTTACAACGGTCGAAACGTTGTGAATGTGGCAATAAGGATGGGGATAACTCCGAATAATCTAAATAATGCAAGTAATCATAATACTTCAACTCAGAGATATAGACAAACTATAATTAGTTAAAAGTATTCATTACTATTTCTTTAGTACTTTCCTCTTCAAGGGTTTTTGGTATTTACCAGGGCGCCTAAGTCGCAACTGAATGTGACCCAATGTCGAAGTGGATTTAACAGCCATACTACATAAAAATTCTCAAGTCCCCTCGGCACTTAACCTTTTGACGACACCTCAAGCACTGAGAAATAAACCCAGCGCCCTTCAGAGAGAGATAGGGGTGTACTGCATGTGGGGAAAAGCTTCTTGGGGATTGGGCTAATATTCAAAGAATACAAATCTCAGCAAAAAGGTTAGGATTTGTTTAGACTTCAGTTGTATCAAATGCCATTGGAGATTAGCATATGAATACAACAATCTATTGCCATTTATAGGGTGGAGTACAACGATCTATTGCCATTTATAGGGTGGAGTACAACGATCTATTGCCATTTATAGGGTGGAGTACAACGATCTATTGCCATTTATAGGTGTTTTTTCGGATCTATTACCATTTATAGGGTTTTTACAACAATCTATTGCCATTTATAGGTGGAGTATCCACGATCTATTATATATATTTATTTTTGGAGTACAACAATCTATTGCCATTTATAAGGTGGAGATTAGCATATGAATACAACAATCTGTGTATAGTACGACACCCCTATGTTTTTGACCTAAAATCCGATCCCAAAAACTCATACTTGAGTAAATACACTATATCTTTTTCTAGCAAGATGAATATATTCGTAACTATCTGCAGTAAATACGCAGGCAGCTGATTGGTTGAGAGCATTTCTAATTAACTTTCACAACTTCAGAGATGATTCAATAAAGCCTTTATTTACCAAATTAAATCTTCATTAATAAGAAAATCGTCTGCAGAAATACAGATGACTGATTCCAAAGTCACAGCTGCAAGCGAGGAATCTGTCTCCAATCTTCGAACCTGCTTCCAACCAAAGCATTAGTAACCTCTGGAGACTAATTCCATTTCCATATCTGGAAATCTAAGTACTTTTACCGCTTTGTCTGAGATCTGAGCTTCACACAGCCGTGTTTCTAAGTAACAATGCGAAACATTGATATATTAAAAACGAGGTCGTCTACCGAATAGTGGCATAAAAGTTGATGAGCCATTTTTATCTTATAGAGCTTTTTGGCATTCGTTTTTTATTTACCGATGGAAAAGAATTTGATTATTAGAATGCGTTACACACTACGATAAACAAACACACACACACACACACATTCATTTTCAAATTTTATTAAAAAATAATAAAAATATTTCAGGATTATATATATTATATATATATATATATATATATATATATATATATTAAAAAAATAAGATCAGTATATATATATATATATATATATTAAAATAATAAAGATCCGACAGTTAATTCAGAATATAATATATTTATTTGAATATATTATTAAAATAAATATATATATATATTTATATATATAATAAAATAAAGATCAGATAATATATATATATATATATATATATAATTAAAATAAGTTCTTCCATATATATATATATATATATATATTAAATAAGATACGACCATTTATGATATATATATATATATGTCAGTCATTTATATATATATATATATAAATAAAAAATCATTTTTTTATATATATATATATATATAAAAAATAAGATCAGTATATATATATATATATATATATATTTAAAATAAATCAGATATATATATATATATTATTGTTTATATTAATATATAAAATATATATAGTATATATATATATATATATATATATTGAAAATGAAATTAAAAATACTATATTCCATATATATATATATTAAAATAAGAAATATATTTATATTCGATATATATAAATAAATTAAAATAATATATATCCAAAAATAATATATATAAATATATATATATAAAATAAATTATCAGCAGTGTATATGTATATATATATATATCTTAAAATAAAGAAATTTATATATATATATTTATATATTAAAATAAATCTGAAACTAAATATATATATATATATATATTCTAAAATAAGATCTTTTATATATATGGTATATATATTTAAAATAAGATTTGTCTATATATATATATTTTATATATTAAAAAAATCAGTAATATCACATGATATATATATATATATATATTCAATATATAAAAATAAGATATATATATATATATATATATTTTAATGTATTCATATATAAAAATATATTCAATAAAATTATATATATAATATATATATATATTGGCAATAAGAATACTATAATATATATATATATATATAAAAATAAATATATATATATATATAAATAAAAAATAAGATCGTATATATATATATATATATATATAAAATGAATGATCAGTATATATATATATATATATATATATAATAAAATAAAATATATATATATATATATATATATATATTAAAATAAGTCAATATATATATATATATATATATTATAAAATAAAGATTAATTATATATCCATATATATATATATATATATATATATATATTATCTATTATTCGGATCAATATATATATATATATATATATATATATTTAATAATGTTCACGTATATATATATATATATATATATATAAAATAATTAAATATATATATATATATATATATATATCATATATATATATATATATATATATATATATATATATATATATATATATATATATATATATATATATATATTTATATAAAATTTGATAGAACAAATTCCATTGTAATGAAACATTCCATATGATACAGCCCTTTTTAGATTTTTTTAACTGAGCTCTCAAAATTACCAATTTTCGTAACTTAAATATATTTGTTATAACATTATATTTAACAATATTTCAATTTATGTATTGCAAGTATTTGTAAGAAAATATTGTAACGTTATTTTAGTTTATTACGTCAAATTTTATTCTTTTCTTATTTATTGATACGTTTCTATTATTGTCATTAAAGTCATAAGTCAAAGTGGTACAGGGTGCGATGGATAAATTGTCGTCTAAATGACGAAAATATGAAAATAACACTGACGTCTCATTTTAAGAGATATATTAAAAAAAATTAAACAAAAGTATCTTGAAATACCAAAGAGTAAATCTATTCAATAAAATCACCATTAATTTCAATTTTTATCCTTGGAATCTCCTGCATGACTTTTAACAGATTCTCCTGCTGCCATAATCCTTTTATTTCAGTTCATCTTTGATGTTTTTTAAGAGTTTTGTTTGGTTTTTCGATTTTAGAACCCAAGTAATAATAAGGGGTTGAAATTTTTGTTGGGTGACCAGATGTATGGAATGATGTGGTCGCAGAAATTGTCCTGACTAGTCAAACGGGGTTCTCCTGCTTGTTGGCATGATCTAGCGTCTTGTTGCTAGACCTAAAGGTTTCCAGTAGCCATCTTCTTGACCCATCAAGCACAACTCCTCAATTATTCATGTAGACTTTTTTTAAATCTGAGGCCCTCAAATAAATATATATAAGTTCATTTCTGATTTTTAAGCCGCACCTTCAGAAAATGGTGTTAGACTCATTAAAATAATTTCTAATCCTCTAAATCATCAGATTGACACCCGAACACTCTGAAATATTCATACTGGAGCTCCCGGGGTTAGTGCCAAGAAGGACGTGTATGTGTGTGTGTATAATTTTCCCAACAGACGAGTTTCAAGTCACCCTATTTTAATGTGCAGTCCACAAAATCGAAAACAACGTGCGAAAATAAAAATGGCGACAATTTAGCCATCGCACCTGTACATTTGACAACGAACTATTCATTCCGACATCCAGTGTAAAGTATATATGGTCATTCCATGTCATAGTAGATGATTTGCGTGTCCCAGTGATCCCCTGAGCGAAGCCGTCTGGAGTTCCAAGACCGTGGAGGAAGACCAGACTAAACGCAACCAACACTGGAAAATGCCAACGACGGAATAGGCAACATTCTACACGACCTCAAAGGCCAAATTGGGCGGAAATGACCAGCGTCAGTCGGGCCTTGACAGACTAACCATCCGACAAAGCCCTTATGCAACCAGGTTTGCCAGATCTCGCCTAAAACCAATCCTTTTTGAGTCGCAGGCAGACGCTTCCTTGACCAAATGTGTGGACTTCTCTGTTTGAAGATTGTCCATCAAAACCTACCCACATTTCTCACCCACAAAGACAGACATGCCTTAAAACTAGGTTTGAGGCCTCACACTTATACATCACACCCCCCCTAATAATATATATATATACACTTATATAATATCATACTCACAAATTCACTCCCTAAGAACCAAATAACACACACAAAAACAAACACTAAACAGAGACACATCCCTCACCAGGTCCAATAAAACTGTCAAACTGACCAGAGAATTCAGAGCAACATGTATCTGTCCAGCTCTTATCTCAAATAACAACTTAAAAGAGACTGTTTGACCAACACAAGGAATGTTAAAAGATTCATGTTAAAAAGATAAAAAAATAAAAACAAATGAAAACTACAGACAAAAGTTCATTTTCTCCATCAAGACATTCATTTCTGTAGTTTAGTGCTAACAGCAAGCAGAAATATTTCTCCTCCCGATGATGGCCATTTTGGTCGAAACTAGTCGAGGAATCTAAATGAAATAATAATAAAAAAAAACGAAAGAATATTAATCTACAACCCAGTGTGTCTAAAGATTTTAATTTTTTATTTTTTTTTTTTTATTATATATATATATATATATATATATATATATATATATATATATATATATATATATTATATATATAATATATGTATTTATTATAAATTTCTATGTTTTAATAAATATATATATATTTTCTCGGTCTTCATTTAATATATTTATATATATTATAAATTGAATCATTTAATAACAGACATATCTGCGTCGACTTCCTGCGATAATATATATATATATATAGTTGATTCAATGGCCTTCTTATACCACTATATATTAATGGAATCGAGCTTTGATATATATGTATAAGGATTAATAATTAAAATTAGATTGATCCCCGACACTATTATTTCGTTATTATGTGTCTCGGTTGATATAATATTTTCATTTTATGTATAAATTGACCGGAGGTTATATGTATATATATCATATTGTTTGATTTTTTAAAAAGTCTGTAAATATATTCCAGCAAATTTTCTGTTACTGGGTATATTATAAATTGATATTTAATATATATATATATTATATACCTTTATAGAATTTAATATATGGATAATATATAAATTGATTCAATTTAATCCAGATAACGATTCCTGTATGCATTCGCGAGCGTATATATATTATTTAATATTCGATTGAATCGTGTATGTTTGAATTATAGGCAATTGTTTTCATCATGTTTTAAGGTGGAGGATAATTCCATATCAAAATTAACTGGGGGTAATTAAAAAAAAAAATTTTAACCCAAACTTCTCGTAATTAGTAGTTGAAACACCCCTGACATAAAGTTGGATCCCTGGTCTGAAACTGTATATACCCTAATTCCAAAATCATGACTATGATTGAAAAAAAAAGCTTACAAGGGCCTTTTACTAAAATTTTTGAAATTTCATAACTTAAATGGGTTATTCATTTGAAAAACCTGGTCGAGGCGCACAGAAAATATAATATTGGTAAATAACTTATAAAAGTTTCGAATTTCTACGATAATGCGACAAAATGGCTCCTCGAAAAAATATGGGATGAAAAATTGATTTTAAAAAAAGTGGTTCATATTTGTAACATCAAATAGATGACAAATGTGGTAAAATTAAAATGCTCAAACAAATCCCTTCGGATTTTAAAAACCATTAAAATATATCATACGATCTTTTCAAATCTTAATTGTTAACGCCAATAAAAACCCCCAATGGGATCTCAAAAGAGAAAAAAATATTCCGGTCTATTATCGTTTAAATATTATTTGGTGGACTGTCGACC